CCTAGTTGTATTTTATTTTCATTTTTTCTTGTACACAGTTTGCGATAACCACACAAATACCACGGTTATCGCAGCAAACCACGTAGTAACCACGGCAAAACCGTGATACTGCCAAGAATTTGAATTCAAATTTTTTAATGCGGTTTTTGCACGGTTTTTTACAGTTATCACGCTACGGCATGCGGTAACCCTGGCCCACACGATAAGGTGAACCCTTGAACAAATTAATGCGTGGTCCAATTCGTTATTTGCTGGAACAGAAACTGAACCTTTCTATCTAGACTGATCATACACCTGTTTCCTTGTAAATCTCATTTTCAGTGATGTATCTTGGTTCACCCCGCATAATGGAAGAAGCAGGCCGCCACGCATCAAATCCATCCGTACCCGGCGCCGTTGGTTTGATACTTTGATTGCAGCCACAAGTCCGCATCCTCGCAATAATCACCCTGATCAGCATCGGCGACATATCAAACGTGCTCATGCCGTTGAGTATTTTATAGCCGTCGGATTAAGTTTGGGTGCACCAGATCAATCGCTACACTAACCTTAAAAATAATAAAATATATTCACCACTGTTTCTACCCTTTTTTTATAGCTACAGCACAACACTGTAGCTTTCCTCATATTTCACTGTGCGTCTCTGCCTTTCTCCCCCTACGACAGAGGATGCGAACCCAACGTACGGCCATGGAGCGCCTCGCCAAGGCCGACGTCAGGTACCGCTTCGTCATCGACATCGGCAACACCCTCAAGGACGCCATCAAGTGACGCGTCTGGTCCGGTCACTGCTTAATTTACCTCTCTGTCCATTCTGGAACCGCCCAGACGTACTGTCTAAATAACTTTCGACAGAAATCTGTCGGATTTTTTCCACCACAGGATACTTACCCAAAGACAAGATTAGGCACACTATGACATGGTTAATCGATGAAACTAATTCAGACTTTATTTCCCATAATTTTGCAAACAAACAGATGATTAACACTAAATTAGCATCAATCAAGCATTTCTTACCTATTACATGATGCACGGTACAAAGTTTAGACATTGCATAATTAAAGTATAACAACACTATAATTTCCTCTCCTTTTTTTATAAAAAGAAATACAACAGGGGGGCCCCACTGTTAATAAATTTTATTCATAAAAAGAGAGGTAAAAAACAAAGTTACAACACAGCAATCCAATTGATAACTGCATCTTTGTCTCAGCAAAAGAAGAAGATCACCCTTAAATAGCTGCCTCCATCGTTGTCTCTCTCAGTAAAACGAAACAGCAGAAGGAGATCAGCTGCCTCCAAGACACCAAAGAGGGGATTTTTTTGGTCAAAAATGAAACTATTCTTCTGCTTCCAGATATTTCAAGCCCCATATTCTCCATGAAACACTTGCCTTGGTAACTATCTTTTCGTATGCAGAAACATAGAACTGAAGCTTAGGGTAGTGTCCCAAGAGATACCCAGCATAGCCCAATAGGATTGAGCAAAAGGGCATTGGAAGAACAAGAGATACCCAGCATATATAGCCCAGTAGGATTGAGCAAAAGGGCATTGGAAGAATAAATGCAACAGATCTTCTAGAATATGAGCAGAACAAAGAACACAATTAAGATTGGAATTGGGTGGCGCACAATGTTTGTGATCTAGGTATTCAGTCTTTTCATCAGCAGCAACCAACCAAAGACTTTAACTTTCGAAGTAGCTTTGCACTTCCATAACCAAAGGAAATGAGAAGGTGGTTGCAAAGCTCTGAAGTTAAGGGCATATTTCTGAGAAGAATATTTCAGATTACCCCAAATGTAAACCCAAACATCATTATCCTGAGAAAGATTGATACTCTCCAAAAGAGTAAACAAGGGTTGCAACTCCTGAAAAGCTTGCGCAAAAAGAGGCATATGAAAATTTTCCTCGAAATCAAAAATTTATGGCTGATATCTTCGCATTATTAGCAGCATAAGAGAATAATCTTTACATATGGAAAGACAAAGGAGGCTTATCACTCAAACGTCTTCCCAAAAATAGCAAGCGACACTATTACCCACCATACATCTAGCAATGCCCATGAAAAGATCCATCAGTTTGCAAACATCTTTCCACCAAAAGTAACCTTTGAGATTGCTCAAATGGGGTACTCCATTCCCATAATAAGAGTTCCAAATTAAATTAACCCAAGGTAGATTTTTCCTATTATAGAACTTGTCTAGGTATTTCAAGAGAAGTGCCTGATTCTGTATAGAAAGGTTTATAACCCCCAAGCCACCCTTATTTTTTTGGTTTGCAAACCTTGTCCGATACAGCGAAGGATTTTCGGTTAGAGTGCACATTAGAACCCCTCTATAAGTAATACCTTCTTACCCTATCAATATGTTGATGCGAAAAACACACACTGGCCTAGAAGATCTACTTAACTTCAGTGTAGGTCCAAAATCTTGCCTTTAGCTTCGTGAGCGTGCCAGTTGATTTGATCCTGCAAACAACAAGAAAGATAAGAAAACCAAGATTAAGTCCTTAAACGATAGCCGATCGGCTAGAAGCCGATGACGTATCATTTATCTGCGAGCCGATGTCATATTGGAATCAATCGGCAGTTGTGAATAAATAAGATAACTAAATCTACTCGATCGGCTGTAGATATTAACGCCACTAAGTGATTAGGATAGATTGGTCACCATGCCGAGACAGTATAAATCACTTGAGTCGAAATATATATCAAAGCAATGATTATATAGACATTTATAACATAGCCGATCAGATAGATCTAGCATGTCTCGACTAGTACTCCGATACCACTTTATATTAAGATATCGAAAGACAATAAAATACATCAAACAAGAAGCTTAATATACTTTAATACAATGAGATTTTAGTATAAAGGGCAGATTTAGCATAACAATCGAGCATATATGGTAAAAGGTAGCTAAATCAAGTAAGATCAGCTAAAACCCCGATACAATCTCTACTGATAATCATAAAACAAGCTAGATATCGCAGTTATAGATAGAACTTAATAGATCGAACTCAACCGATGTAGCATCAAGCATAAAGATAACCACGAGATCTAAACAAGTTAATGAAAACCTATAAAAGATGGTAGATAAACGATATAATCTAGGTTAATGACAAGATCTAACTCTATCGGCTATTTTCTAACAGTTAAAACCGGCCGATGGCAAGTTATATAGTGAAACCAACAAAGAATATAAAGCATATATGATAACTCGATGAATTACATAAACAAGATTAGAGTGTCATAAAGATGGAAGCACTAATCCCGAGAACGCAAGCCGCCATGACAAGTTTACCTCTAGTTAAAGATCGAAATCGATGCAGTTCAACCCGAAAGCAAGAACTCGTCGAAATAGAACGAAAGTAAAAGGGTGGCGATGCGCCGAAAGTGTTATTGAAGGTGTGTTATTTGGTTACATGGGTTCGGGTCATATTTATACCCGAGATTACAAAATATGTCCTTGCCGGACACGACTTCTATCTCTAACAAACTCTAAGATACTATAAGTCTTTGCGACAGACTTTTGCCCAAACATATCTCTAAGGAAATTATAAAAAATATCCTAATTAATAGATACAATTGCCTTCCTCAGAGATTATCTCCATCGTGGCAATCCCTGTGAAGCATGTGAATTGATTCTAGAAAGAACTTTGGGTCCATCTTCATCAGAATCGGCTGTATTGGCTGTCTTCTGCATACTCCAGCCGATGCCTTCGCACCGATGTATACTCTGTTCCCCGAATCTAACTCTTTGCCGAATCTGCTTTGATCCCAATACCGAACCTGGTTCATATCTTACCAAATTTGGTCGTTAACACAATACTAGTAATATGCCTGTGCTAAACACGCTACGGTGCAATTATATTCGTCTTTAATAAAACTTTAAAATGGATTCGGATGTCACGAATAGAAAAAATAAATAGAGTATAAGAAAATATATTTTCTGCATGTCACAAAGTCGAATGTTCTTAGGTCAATTCTATTCATTTTTCTTTTTGTGTTATGCACTTAAAAAATATTGATTTTTCTATTTGTCACACAAGGCACACGCCTGTTATAGCCCATTGAGGACAACATGAGGGCGTGAATATAAACCCAAATAACAGTTTGAATAATTTCACAATGTATAACAATATAACAATTGTTGATCATATCATTAACGTCTTCTTTCAAGATCTATATGGAACGACTACTAAAATTAGTCGATGGCAAAAGTGCATATTTAGAGAGACTGACTCACGTAGAACGCGATGGTGTGAAGAAGATAATCATGCAATCAATATTCCACTTGAGGTGATGGCGTGCTGTGCAAAACAAGAGAATGTCGATGAGTAACATTTCGATCAGCAATTTACTATATTCTAGAATATGTTTTTGAATTAATGTTGATCATGTGAGCCTACCTTTGCTCACCAGTTAAAAACGTTTTTATACATGATATTCCTAGTGCTCTTCCCTGTGGGGTTAATTTTTTTCTTTGACTTTGCCAAAATCCTTGTTGTTTGCCTTGACACACCTCTTAACACTGCATATTTATCCTTGTTGTTTGCTTTGACACATCTCTTGGCAATGCACATTTATCCTTGTTGTTTGCCTTGACATGGGGGTTCCTAAGGGGCTCGCGCGCGCCGGCTGCTTAACTCGCGCAGCCGCGCACACCCCCCTTCCCCACACCCGCGCCTGATTAGCGCTCTTGCTAATTACCATCATTAGCATTAATTACATTGATTAGTATTATTTCTTTAGTACGTGAAAAATTGAGTGTCGTAGGCTTTCCGGACCTTCCATTATATTTGAGGGATGAAGTGAATAATTCAAGTCATCAAACAAACATAATGAAACATCCGACACCTCGAGAGAAGAATATTGGAGACATTGCTGGACCTTTAGCCTGCCAGTCAACTTCAACCTGAGATATGCCCGTCAAACCACTCGAAGACGACGACCAGATATGTTACACATTCAGGATACTTGACAAAAATAGTTAAAGATCTACAACATCTCAAATATTCTTAACTCATACTCATGTGAATCTAGTTCCCAGGATATACACTAGATTCACACTTTCATCTTAAGCATGGACATACATAGCAGACACATTTAAGAAGAAAAGGACTTAAAGACTTACATCAACTTGAAGAAAAGAACTTAAAGACTTAAATCAACTTAATAGTTACATAGGCCGACCGGCCAAATAGATATATAAGAGAACAACGGAAGCTTGTCTACCCAAACCACAAGCACACCGACTAGGGGTTTACCCCCATTAAGTTCCAAGTCCTAGAAGAAGCAGTCGATTACCCGCATCACTCAAAGACTAAATCTAAAACCTGCAAGCAAAAGGTTAATTCAACAGCAAGAGTCAGCAAGCACCAAGACAAGCCTAACACCCTACTTGCAAGGCATATAATTAAGGAAGGCATAATCTTTTTAGCATAAAGCAAGTTTTATTTGCATAAAACATTTCTAAATCAGGTTTACTTTCAAATAAATTTCAGCAAGCTAGTACTTGACATATTGGGCATCAAAGTAGGCATTAATCATGTATAAATATACATATGCACCTCATTGCCTTCCATGGCAGCAAGGAGATCATTCTCAAATCTCATCACAATTTGAAGGTAAATTTCAACATTTAGAAGAATAAACACAAGTCTATACTCAATACATATCCACACGCCGCTCATGACCACGAGCACGGCTAATCGATTAGTTTTAACTCTGCAGAGTTTGTACACTTTACCCACATGATGCGAAATAATAATCATGCAAGAGCATGGCACGCGATACATAAGTACCCGATTTATTACTCGCAATAAAGCTTTTCCAAAATTCATGATTTAGCCTTACACCAGCACGATACGTGTTACTCCATCCTAAGCCATACACGTTATATGACTTAAGGTTGTGGTGGCGGACACAACGGGAACCCACCCACGTGGCACAATACCGTTGTATTGGACAGACTTAGTCACCTAAACTACCACGTCGGGGAAAATAGAAAGTTCCTCTGAGTTATCCGAACTCATACACACTAGCCTACCAGAATGTAAGGCTAAACCATAAATAATTTACTAAGCTTGGGCTATCCCATACTAGCACATGTGGTTGTACTGTATATGAAATAAACTGACATTGAGTGAAATCATTGAGTGAAATCCTTAGGTCGGTTTGGACGCACTCTCCCTCTATCGGTACACAACTAATCACCATATGTGCACCACTTGAGACCTAAACCTAAAATCCATGTTTTCCATCATTTTATTTATCAAAATCGCAAGTATTAAAGTTCTGTCCAGATTATTTCAAAATCAGTTTTCATATTTGTAGTGAGCCCATAATGACAAGGAAGATCATTCTAAGCATGGCTAAGCATTATAGTAACCTAGTGACTCCAAAATTCATATATAAAGTGGTATAGTCATATTGTTCCTATTGTTCCTAAGGTTAGGAAGGAATGATGGATATGGATATATGTGGGGTTAAGGTGATAATGCAAATAATAGGAGTTTGTCTAACAAGTTTAACAAAATTTTAATTGTTTAGAGTACAATCGACATGCAAGATTTGCAAACATTTTCAATAACCTCCAAAACATAGGTTCAAAGTGATCAAAGAGAGGGAGGTGGGACTTGCCTTGAATCAGGAAAATGTCAGCATCTAAATCACTTCTTTACCGTTTAAGCAATCATCTATACAAAGTACACGTTATGCAATTAAACACCGAAATATGCAAAAAATCCAAAATGCTCTAAAATGATTGATTTGTGCACAGTGTATAGGTACTAGTCTAATATGAATTTATGTGAAAGAATTTCTATTTTATCTCATTTCATTTGAGAGTTATGAATTTTAGAAGTTTCGTCGGTATAGTGTAGGATTTACATAGGTACTATTGTGAAATGCTGTTGTAAGGTGATTCTTATCAAGTTTATGCTTGCTGGGGTGAGGATATGTGTTTTCTAAGACTAACACATTTGGTTTGACAATTTTTTGGAGTTAATATGAATTCTTTATATATTTTACAAGTTATAACGTGTTATAGGTGTATAGTGTTTTATAGGTTCATGGCTTTAGATGTTTAGGTCCAGAACTTGCCTCATATAGCTAGTGATGTATAAAATGAGTATTTTAGTTAACTAATTTAACCTTAGTTCATAAGCTTATGGTCTTTATTATCATGGTTCATATTTTATAAACTAGGGGAGCTCTAGTCTATGCTAGCAATTTATTATATCAACCTAAAAATTATTATATGAGCTAAGTGCCTTATGTTTTGGTGGATGGGGATGGAACTATGACCTCTCTGGTCTAACAAGTTTTATGTTGGTTTATTCATAGCTAGAGTGCATTTTAACTACCTCACACATATATTTTGCTTAACCATTACTAGGTGATTAACTCCTAGGTTATCTATTTAAAGATTAGAACTATAACCTGTTCAAAAGGTGCCATATTTTATTTTACTATGTTGAAGCTCACTATTTTCTGGTTATATAGAAATTTGGTTCACTCCATTTGAACTAAAAATGAATTTTCTACAAATTTTACAAATTAAAGGCTACTCTATATTGGTTATTACTTACATAAATATTTAGAGGATTTTATCATACAGTAAGTATATAATTTTATTTTATAACCTAGAAGTATATGTTTTGGTGATTCTACAGAACTTGGGTTTACTTAAAATAGTTCTAAGATGAATTTTATGTGAATTTCTAAATTTCAGCTTACCTAAAACTAGTCATTTTAAAGATAATAGTTTCAGAGGCATTTGATCTAAAGTATGTATACTATTTCATTTTACTTTTTAGGAAAACATAAGTTGATGGATCTATAGAAACTGAGTTTGCTCTAAAATGAGTTGAGATGAATTTTATATGCATTTTATAAGTTTGTGTATGCTTTATGTATGATTTATCTTAGACCAATTTTAGAGACAAATTCTGTACTGAGGGTGCCAAGCTTTATGTTTCCACATTAAAGTTCATAGTTTCCTTAACCTCCATAAATTTGAATCATCTCAAAATAAGTTATATTTGATTTTATATGGATTTTACAAGTTTAGATGTTTTCCTGTTAAAAAGTAAAGGCTTTTAGTATTATCTTTTTACATTTTCAGATTTTTAAACTCATGGGGTCCACCTGTCGGTCTCAGGATAATATGCAAATGGGCCCCTAGAGTTTCAGGAAATCAACCCGCAGTCCTAGGTCCATATGTCATTGAGTGAAAGCATTACATAATGAACCTTATAGTTGTTTAACTTCTCAAAATGAAGTCCCTGTTTCTTCTCCATTCGATAAGCAGCAGAGCAGCCATGGGCGGCACCTCTGCTCGCCGGTGTTGGCGACAAACGGTAACTCCGTTGGGGTTGCGACCAAAATAGAAAATGAAGGGCATGCTATCACGATTCCAGTCCTATGCATTTCTCAGATATTGGACATCGGAGTAGCGCCAGCGGCGAGTCCGAGCAGAGGATGTTTTCGGGTGGTGGTGCATGTCGTGCTATAGACTGGATTTACCCAAAGGGATGCATGCATGTATGTTGTATAGGCTGCTGGGTGCTCACCGAGATGCTAGACAAGGCTAGGGATGTCTGCAGAGCCACAGCGACGGCGAAGCTCCATGGCGGCATGGCACAACTCCAGGAATGACGTCGGCTGCTCGATCTGTAAGGGGAGTCACTAGTACGGTGCATGCAAGAGGTCAAAAGCTATCTAGGGAGGCTATTCATGCATGGAATTTGACTGACGCTCACCGGAGAGAATGGAATCGATGATGGAAGCGATTGAATGGAGTTGGAGAACACGATGTCGATCTCCAAGATCGCTGCGCCATTGGATGGGTTTTCTTGGGGTATCTTGAAGAGGACGTCGAGGTGATCCTGGTGGCGCAAGGGTTCGGCTTGGGGTGGTTCGGTTCGGTCGGAACGACGATGAGAACCCGATGACGGCGTCCAGTGCGCGCTCCAGAGCATCGTCGGCGAGCTCTGCGTTCCCGTGGCTGCAGTGGATGAAATGACGTGGTGTCAAAATAGAAGATGATCGGCATGATGAGGAAATTATGGAACGGTAGAAGAGAGGAGACGACCACGGCACAATGGCGATGGCAACGGCCGTCGTCTTCACGGCCGGCGGCAAGGTCGAGATGGAAAAGAAAAGCCGGAGCTCTCCCCCTCGGTTTGCTCGGCTCAGGAGTGGTAATGGGGAGGAGGCGATGTAGCTGGGTGGAGGTGAAGCCTCGGTTCGGCGCTGCCACGTCGAGGCCACGCGTCGACGCCGTCCAGTGCTGGTCGGCTCCCTCGGTCTCTCTCTCGGCTGTCACTGTGTTGGATGGAGGAGAAATAGAATATGGACAGAGAAGAAGTGACTCAGAGAGGCTTCCATGTGGGTCCAGGGCAATATAGGCTAGGTGGGTGTGAGTGCTATGGGTAGATGATTGGGTGTAACCGTGTAAATGGTTTTGGACGAATTTTCTGGATTAATTCTCTCACCCTTTCTTTGTAACTCCATAGTTTATTTTGTGGCCAGGATAAATTAGTGTGGATTTTTGTGATGATAGATGGAGATACCTAGATTCCATTTTCTTTGGTTGCACTTAAAAATTTTGGATAGACTACTCACAGTAATTAGGAGAAAATAGGCTCTAATGGTTTAGTTGTTTGTGTAGATTTCAGATATTATTCATGAGACCTATTATGAAATACAAATCGAAAATCCAAATGCATAAGAAGGACTCAAGTCAAAACATGTCTTATGCAAGTATGCATGCTTACACCTGTGTTTGTATTTTTGTCCTAGGTTATAAATGAAAAAGTTTTAATTTGCCCTCAAATTTTATTTAGTTACATGAGTTAGGTCAACTTCCCCTAGGTTAAAAATGGAAATTTTTGGTTCAACAAATTGAAGGACTTTCCTTTCAACTAGATTTGACGAAAATTTCTTAATCCGGGTATGTTACAACCTATCCCCCTTAAAATAAATCTCGTCCCCGAGATTTGGGTAGGGTTGTGGGCGGGTTACATTTTTTTTTTGTGTTGGCTTCCCAAGAATTCTACTCTTCTAGTGTGGTTCTTACTATCGAGCTCCTAATCTTAAGAATGGATTATAATTCTAATCTTGACTGATGTTTGAAAGACCTACTAAAAGTTTTACTTGTATGATGCTTTCTGATGACACGATAGTATCTGATTTAATTATTTTTCTAAGCCTCTTTCAAACATACCACATTTAATATCTCTAACAAAAGGTTCTACTTAATTCCAATGGGTAAGGTTAGCTTAAGTCTAGACTATCTCTTGAGGATTCACAAATGATAGTAACTTTCTTAAGTTGTATTATAAACTTGCTACCATAAAACATTTAGAAACTTCTATTTAGTGGATGGGTGGCAGGTTTTACTCAGTTGTGGTTTACAAAGGCTTTGGTAGATGACCAAAAATGGTACTAGAGAAGTTGGTTCTAACCAGGTATATTATGGTACATATTTGTGGGATCTATGGCCAATGATCTATCTTAGTTGAGCCCACATTTACAAAAGTTTAAAATTCTGGACAGCAACACGAAGGTTACCAATTTAAAGTTAAGCGGGTTGCTTGATGGCATGTATAGAAATAACTTTTTTTTAAGAAGGCATGAATGTATGCTATGATATCATGATGAATGAATGATGCGATGAATGTATGGAATGATTCAATGCTTATGAAGATATTTTTTTGTATTGCATACATGCCATAGAACAATCCCCTTCAGTCCAACTGATTAGTAGGTTGCGGTGGTAATTTTTAAAACAAATGGATCATTTTAGAGAAGTTTTCAAAATCTATAAGTCAAGTTTCCTAACCATGTTTGTGAGTTGCTTCAATGTACAAATCTTGCATCCAACCATAAAGGGGCACAAAATTCGCGCATTGAGCCTTCTCAACATAAATCACATAGTTTGCTTATGACTTTGTTCCTAGTATGGTGGGTTTCTTTTAGGCATTGTGGGGGCTTACCAAGATTAAATATTTGTCTCTAGGTGTACAAAGTCATGGTACACTATCCCCCTTAAAAATATAAAATTTTGCAATGGGGGTTTATCAACAAGTCTTAATGGAAAGGAGTTAAACCGACATATGTGCTAGGTGCTGTCCTACATAGTCCCAGGTATAAACTGAAAAAACAGTCTATGCTAGGCGATGGATCTCGACAAGTCCACCTCAACTACCGCGTCCCTGAAGAAGTTGCAGGACGACGGCGCCCTCCCTGGTCGAGGGACCATGCAGAGGGAGATAGGAGGTATTGAACCCGAACCCATCTTGGGCCGCATGGTCGCGGTCGAAGATTACATTTCTTGCGGTTTTCTTCCTCGCCTTCCGAATTTCTTCTTCTCGTCTTATACTTCTATGGCCTTTCTTTGCTTCACCTAAACCCCAATTCCATCGCATTCCTTAGCATTTTTTTCCTATCTTTGCGAGGCCTACATTGGGGTAGAGCCCTTCCTTGATCTTTTCCATTTTTACTATGAGTTGTGCTGGATGGAACCCAACAGGGTATCCGGATGTGTTGGATTTCGACTTCGGTATCGCCTGAAGTCGCGCTACATCCCCTTCCAGTGCCCCTCTTCTCGCAGCAAATGGCGGGCAAGATGGTTCTATCTTCAGATAGAGAACTCGGATCCTGTCCCAACCAGACAAGATCCCAGAGTGCACTGCCAAACCCGCCCTGACTCCCTCCCTCCAGTCTTTCATCGACATCATCGATGACCTCCGAATACGGGGGTTGTCAGGGTACGAAGTCACTGCCGACTTCGTAGGTAGGCGGATCCAACCGCTCCAGGCCCGCAATGTCACGCCCGGAATTTCTATCCAAAATTCCAAACGCTTACATGTGTGTGAACCCTCGTCCAGGAATCAGCCGAGGCACACAATAACAAATTGATAATAGAGTACAATTATTACTCTAATTATTAAGCGTATAAAATATCATTACAGAGGTGGATAGTTCCTCTCAATCAATAAAGATCTAAGCAGCGGAAAAATAAGATAAACGGCGCAGACGGCTCCACTCCACAGGCAGCTTGACCAGGGCTACACCTAATCCTCCACACCATCAGCTTCACTGTAGAACTCTTCCTCTGATGAATGATTGCAAGGTGAGTATATGACATACTCAGCAAGCCACGCAGCAAATATGCAAGTGCACAGGATAACAAAGGATGGCATAATAGGGTTTCGTTTGCAAAAGCAGCATTTAGCAAACATTTGAGAATTTAATAAAACAGTTAAGTAAAACAATATTAATCCAACGCTATACAACATACCCTGTTGCATAGGCCCAACCACTCTGAACAACCATCCCGGCTGCACAGTTCTATCTCCAAACCAGGAATATACCATTCCAAACCAGGAGCTAATCAAATTATTACCAATTATAGCATCATTTACTAAGGTGAGAAGGGTGAAACTAATCACGAAAGACATTGTTAGACCCGCCCTTAACCGCGGGCACGGCTATTCGAATAGTTTTACTCTGATCAGAGGTGTACCCCTGTACCCACAAGACACAACCCCACATCATGTCACCATGTGCCTCAATACCACCACGGTACCTCGGAAAGGAGTTGTGACAATACCCCTTATACAACACAATCCACTGCAGCGCACCTTCCTGGATCATAATCACCCCCTTATAACAAGGCATGGACTCCCCAGCGACCCCCGTGGGCTTATCTCCGCCACTTCTCAGTCTGGTGCCCCGCAATGAACCACGCTATACAAAAGATAAAGCCGTTGCCCATGCTGGCTTGTGGTTGGCACGGTTAATGTTTCACAACCGAAACTCGTGAACCGGTCCTTAATTGCCATGAGCACGACTCTCAAAACCATGTGCTCACAACCCACTATTACCAGGTTTTAGTTGGCACATTAATTAATTAACTAATCACGATTGACCATCGTGAACTATCATTAAGCCATCATTAAATAACAGTGAGTCATAAGTTATCCCAATAGTGAGCTAATGTTTCTAAGCAGGGCTAAGCAATTGTATCTAATATCTAGTTGAACCAATACATAAAGCTCAACTAGTCAAGTTACAATAACCCAAGGTATCAAGGAATAAAGTAATCAAGAACAAAAGGGGCTATAACAACGAATAGGTTAATTCCACCCAATGACATTCGAAAATAAATGCAATAGTTGAAAAGAAACAATAGCTTTAAATAGGATCAACATGTTCAAAGGGTTGTTTGGGATCTGTGTGACTTGCCTTGCTGGCCTTGGAACTCTTCAAACTCTTCTCCGGCGAAAACGGACTCTCCGGAAACGACGGAATCTAAGCAGAAAAGAACAAAATCACCAAAACAGCACATAAACAAACATGAACAGTACATGTGGATATTTTTAATGTGTAGATCTCAATTTTAGAAAAATTTAGAGACTTGAACCAACTAAATCGGAGCTAAGATGAATTAGTTATGAATTTTTAAAGATTAAATCGGATTAAAACACTTAAATCGGTTTAAATTGAATTATGACGCAATATTGAATTATTTTTGAAAAGGAAAAGAAGGTTTATTGCGTCAGCGGGCTAGGGTTAGCGGTGGACCGGGCGCACGGCGGCGGTTCACGCAAACGGACGGCCGAGATTCGATCCAATCCAAACGGACGGCCGAGATCGATCGGGTCCACGACGGCTCACGGCGGACGGCCTTGATGACGTCAGCGGTGACGTCACCGACGGCAGCGGCGGCTCGGCGGGGCGGACGGCTCGAGCGGCGCACGCTCGCCGGCGAACGGCGGCGCGAGGACACAAATGGAAAGCACCAAGACAAAGCGGGCGGCACGGCGAACTCACCGGCGACCAAAACGGCGACGGAAGATCAACGGACGGCGACGGCGACGAGGAGGAAACGGCGAAGCTTTTCGGGTCGACGACGGCGATGACGCTCCGGCGGTCTTCGGCGGCGGCGAAGGGGCGGACGAGGACGGCGACGACTTGGCGATCACGACGGTGGCCTTCCCGAGCGACGGCGACGGCTGGAACGACGGCGGCGCACGGCTGGAGCGGCGGCGGCGGCGGCAAAGCTAGGGCACACGACGCTAGGGCGATTCCGACGACGAGAGGCGAAGGCGAGGGTGGCGGCGGGTAGAGGAGACCACGGGGAACCTTTTAAAGGGGCTCGGAGACGAAGGCGAAGGCCCACGGCGGCCGGCGACGAGGAAGGAAGGTTCGGCAAAAACGAATCCGAGACGAACTCGAATCCCATG